TCTAAGTCATTCCACTCTTAGCATAGGCCAGACATTAAATGCTTCATTATCTTAAATAATTAGTATAGGTAATCGTATGAACGCGAGTGCAATTAAGGGTTAACAATACAAGAAATAAGTGAAATTCTCTCAAAATTGCACGAACCTTTAGACGGGTACAATTTGAAAGAATTTTCAAAGATCCCGAGTAGTGTGAATTGTTAATTGCTCGAAGTTTTAGACGATTGCTCATTGATTATATGACTGAAAAAACTGCGAACGCTGGCACTTTACACAGTTTGTAGTGCAGTGCAAATTAAGGATTAACGATAAATTGGTTCGCTCTCAGCCGAATCACTGACAATGACGTAATTTTCTCCGTCATATGATAAATCAGTTAATTACTTTCTCTCATGAATGGTAAATTCAACCTCAGTGTTTTGTAAATTTTAATAGATGGGGACTCACTTATCCAAAACTCATTTGCTTATGGAAGCGTTTGCTGTTGCCACATGGCGTCAGCTGCCATCAATCCATCCAGTCTTCCAACTTCTGTTTTCTCATCTCCGCTATGTCATGGCCATTAACACCTTGGCAAGAAATGAACTGATTGCACAAGGAGGTATCGTGGACAAGACTCTTAGCATAGGAGGTGGAGGTCACATTCAACTGCTAGAAAAGACGTACAAGAATTTCAAATTTGAGATGCTCTCTTTGCCAGACATGTTGAAGAAGAAAGGTGTTGATGATGTTGAGAAGTTGCCAAATTATTATTACAGGTAAGCTTCTGAGTGATTTTATCTAATCCTTCGTAGGCAAAGTATAAAATTGTACAGTTAGCTTTATTTTTTGATGCAAAACTGGCCGCGATGCTCTCAAGGTCGACACCCACTCGGGGACATGTTGCAAGGACACGATGCAGTGACATGGAACATGCGTACTTGGGTTCAAACGAAGTCCCCTAATGTGTGCCAAACTGTATGTTTTGCGAGGAGCATCTTTGTAAATATAAGTACCGGGCCGGACAAGAGACCAATAATTTTTCGTTTGAAACTTCTTTCTGTGCAAGCATTCTAATCGGCTAACAATAAGCAAATATAGAAGGAATTAGATGCCTAGTTTTATCACTTCCTTTGCGAAACACAGTTAAACACAAATGTTCTATTACGTCCCCCACGGGGGCGGGGGGACATTTCTCCTCGAGACAAAGTGAGGAGAAATGGATAAGAGTTTAATAAGAGGAAAGCTTATTATTTCGGATGTGGCTGAACATAGATAAGTTTTAAAGCAATCAGAGAGAATATTAAATAAATCCTGGAGATTGAAAACTTTAAAACATAGGGAACACATTAGGCTATTTATCAAACAATGTCATTTCCTGCTTGGCTCAATATCTTGGATTTGCATAGGGGAGAGAGCCTTGGGAGAGATGGGGGCTTGCTAAAATATTGAAATCCTGAATTAAGGACTTATTCATCATTAATCAGGGGAGTTAAAATGTAGTTAAAAGAGAGGGGTGCTAATAGGGCTTATAAGTCTTAGGCATTCATCTGTGGATAAATCAAAACGATAACTAAAGTAGCTGCATGACCAATTTATTAGGGATGACGGACTTCGCTTGTGGACAGCCATCTCAGATTTCATCCAGGAATTCATCGGCATTTTCTATCAATCAGATGATGACGTATGCAAGGATTACGAAATACAGTCCTGGGTGAGAGAAATCCACGACAATGGCCTCCCTGTTAGAGAAGGTGACGTAGATCACGAGTTTCCCGACAGTTTGCAAACACGTGATCAGCTTGTTCACATCTTGGTCTGTGTTGTGTTCACATGCTCGTGTCAACACGCAGCGGTCAACTTTTCCCAGCTGGAATCAGCCTTCATACCAAATGTTCCGTCAGTCATGCGTCTGCCAGCACCCACAAGGAAAAACCAGGCGACTCTGGAGCTCATCATGAATACTCTGCCGAACAAGAGTCAAGCTGGTTGGTATATTGCTACCATGTACGTTCTGACGCGAGTATCGGAAGACGAGGTAATATGCGAAAACTACTTCAGTTATGAACCAGCTTTGATTCAGTCGAAGTGCTAACCGTCTAGACAATATTGAGCAGGAAAGTTCTAATTCTAAAAAATCTGGGCCGTGTTTTTCAAAGCCCGATTATAAGCTTACCCAGGATAAATGAAAAGTTTGATTTCAGTTTTGAGTTTGAATAATCTCAAACTACACATAACATGAGTCTTGAAACACATTTTTCTACAAGAAAAATGAGTACCTCAGTCAACTTGGGTTAGCATTAACCGGATATCGAACAACCCGGCCCTGAACTCTGAAGTGATCTGGAAAACTCCTGAAAAGCAACCATGAAATTTCTTCTAAGCGTCAAGAAAGGTCATTGGGGACCACAATAGCGGAGGGCGAGGCATAATCCAGAAGTTCGAGTATCGGGGATAGTCGCCCACGTACATTATCAGCCAGGGACAGACTCTGAAAGCTTGATAGTGAACATGCACTAGAAGTTGTTATTTTTCCTTGGGGGATTAAACTACATCCCTGGGCAAAACAAGCTGAGACAAAATTGAAAAACATTCTTTCATTTTCTTGTTGTATTGTCTAAATTCCTAAATATCGTTAAATGAATGGTGGTTATCCTCCTCCATTTTTTCGGTGTCGTTTTTGATAACACAAGAACTGTATCCCTCGGTTGGCATCCAGGCCAAAGCAACATTGAATGGAGGTAGGGGAGGGGGCGACTTATATGCCATGGCATCACGCGGAATTTTTTTATTTATTTTATTTATTTTACTTAAAAAAGTGGATAAAAGTGACTTAAAAGTTTTGTTCAGGTTTGTAGCAGTCTTTGTTTCACTCTCTGTTTGTTTGGTTGTTGTTATTGTTGTTGTTGTTGTTGTTGTTTTTGTAGCGTTTCATCGGAGACTACTCCCAAAGTCCCCTGATGGGCAGTGAAGTAGAAGACGCTATTTCTCGTTTCCAGTCTTCCCTCCAGAGAGTCTCTGAAGAGATCCAACAACGCAATGCATCAATGGAATTTCCTTATCCTTACTTGTTACCAGAGAGGGTGCCAAACAGTATTGCGATCTAAAACAAAGTGTTGATTAAGGCCTGCTTCTTGATCTTAGTTTTATCCCATCCTAGAGGAAAAGGAACAGTTTTCAAGTTTGTGATTTTGTTACTAGTTTTCAGGCATGCCACTCAAACAAACCAAACAGATACTCCGTATATTATAGCATGGTTAGAAAACGTAGACTAGTGAGACCAGTAAGCTATCTACAAACAAATGGCCACGGTGCTGAACTCGAGACTAACAAGATCCAACGAATCAAACTACTGGCAGGGTAAAGAGCTTGAAGACGAGATCTGCGGCTCACAAGACCAGTGATTAGTACGTCGGCCAAGCTGCCTTCTTTAATTAAGGGTTACAAATTTCTACAATACTCAAGAATGACAATCTGTAATTTTATGCGTTATCCCATGATTGCCAATAAACCACGTCAATCAGAAGTTAATTAACTTATTATATCACAGAGAAAATCATATCACTGTGATTGGTTAAGAGCAGGCAGATACAATGTATTTTTAATTTGCACTGTAGCGCAAATTGATACAAGTGTAACTAATTATTTGCGCTTGAATTCTTACGATCACCTGTACAAATTGCTTTTCTAGATTCGGAGTGAATAGTGCTCCGCTAAACACCTCCGTTAACCAATCAGAACACGTGAAAAACACTATTCATTTGTGTGGTATATGAATACCAAAACTGCATAGGCAATGATATGAAGGCGAATGCAATTAAAGATTTACACTGCAAGTTGTATTCGAAAAGTTTCTCAAAATTGCACGAGCTTCTAGGCGAGAACAATATGATAGAATTTCAAATATAACAAGTAGAAAGATTGGCCAAATTTACTACTTCAAAATCTAATACCATACTCATTCAAATTACAAAATTAAACAACTGCACAGAATATGCGTAAATGTTGCTCGACAAGAAAATGGCGTCCACAGAGGCTGAACTGAAGTTTCGTCTCTACCGCGTGCTTAGTGGTGTTCTTCTGAATCACTTTTTTCCTCCAATGTCTTTAGAACATTATTTTATCAAAATGACAATAAAGCGTTATTTTAGTAGTGGCTAAAGGATCTTAACAAAGGATGAAAGAAACGTTTCTTTGGGCGGTTTCGCGAAATTTGATGCTCTTATTTCTTTTGTCTTTTGAAATCGAGAAATTAAAACCTTGCGAAATATTGCCTAGCCGAAATCGAGAAATTGAGAACGCTTGAAATTAACTAAGAAAGCATATTTATTAGAAACACTTAATTGTGATCTTTTTGATATAGGTGACAGAAATAATTACAACCTTTATAAGTTCCGTTAAGACACTTCGGTTAACAGAAGAGCTATAGCGAAACGCAGCTGCTTTGACAATACTTGTTTACGGTATATTCTCACTGAATGTAATAAGAAAATACTTTAAACAAGTANTGCCTAAGTTACTGGAACAGTATGAGTGATATAGTTTACAAACAAAAAAAAGTAGAATTTTTAGTTCATACAAAAATGTTCAATATTATTGTTTTCTATCAGCAGAAATAAAAGAGAGCGGGGGCAGATTTAGTGATAACTACTACTTTAATTTAGTTTAATCGTGTATAACTGACTTAGCTGCCTGTCGACACAAGCAAAGCAGCTGTATTTTTTTTGGAATTTTTGTGGCAATGTCAGAAACCCATTTTTACCCTTCAAAACAATTTACACCGGGCTTTGTTAGATTTTCTTGGATCCGTTAAGCTTTGACAATGAAACTTCGGAGATTTTTTATCCTCGCTTTTGAGCATGCGCGCGAATTTGAATGGCTTTTTATGCTCTGTGTATTTTAAAATCTTCCGCCCAGTCTTATTTTGGTAATTTCATATACAAATTATTTTTTTAAAAAAGAAAAACTTTGGTCGGTCCGTATCAACAAAAACTTTGCCCTTGGCCTTGAACTGGCCCAACATGTATTTATCGGCAACTGGGCGTTATGAACGAGAACGGGTTGGGACGAGAGAAGAGAAAGAAAAAAGCCTTCTGTTCGTGTTTCTAAATTTAATCGCTTTAGGGCTAAAGCCTCTGGCGTTATCTCTGCTGAATACCGCGAACAAACACATAGACTTCACCAACAGCGACATTAACAGCGACTGTGCCGGCCACTTTACATCACCTGATCGTGAGTCAGTGCTAATCAATACAGAACGCAAGTCTTCAAAAGGTATGCTACCCGAATAATAGTTTGATTTTCCTTACATGAAGGGCGGTACAATATGAGCAAGACCAAACCTTATCCACCCAAAGGGACGTCGTTGTCATATCATGATTTAGGTTTAAAAATGTCGCTAGAGTGTGAACTAGGCATTCCGGCTGGATTAGATTTGCCAAAAAACGGTTTTTAACTCATGCTAAAGAGCATAGTCGGTCCCTCTATGCCATGATTGCTGGAAAAATCTTTCGATTAAATTAGTGCAAGTTATGCAGTGTAGAATTCCCACAAGTCGACTTTCGCTAATCGACGAACCAGGGAAGTATTACTGGATGGAAATGTTAGAAAGTCTACAGGTATAAAACCAAGCGCATCCGAAGCAGTGAGTACAAGGCTAAATATAAAGGTACATGGTATTCAAATTCCAAACCGTCAAACCCGTACGTGGCAAGGTTGGATAATTAAGTCGTAGTCCGGATCATTTTCAACTTCAGCAAGGAATACGGGGACCAGATGTATTGTTTGCATTCCTTGTCAGTCAGTTCTGAGTATAAACGGTACATTACACGCGCGACTAATAGTTGATAGTTGGGATTCTTAATGGTTTATGTTCTATTTGAAATATTTGTATGTTTGTTTCAAGGGTCCCCAATTAGCACAACAGTGCCAAATACATTTGACAGTCAAACTCAGAAAACCGCGAACACCTAAACTATGTTTGGAATGCTTATTGTGTTATAACCAAGCAGGAGCGAGATCTTGACCACAGAAATTGGTGACAGAAACCCGTAAATACTAAAACATGGAAGGAGCTAAAACCACCTACAACCACCTACAACCGCCTAAAACCATCTACAACCACCTGCAACCACCTTCAGAAATCTAAAAATCCACTTAGGATTTTGTTTTTATCATTTTTTAGGCATTTTAGTGTGAAGTTTTGCGCCTCCCGTCCATTTCAAAGCCTGCGTGCACACCGGAAATGTTTTGCGGTTTCCATGGGTGTCTCGTTTCATGTAAACAAAATAAATACTTGACAAGAGCGGTTCAGTTTAGTTTAGGTGTAGCGCAAATAACTACAAATCGATAGGTAGTACCAGAATATAGTTGCCATGCATTTAATTACCAAAGCAATTCGTCATTTTTGAGAAAAGCTACTATGGGACTAATTGTACATGCTCAAAAGGTCACTGAAAATGATAATACATGCCTTTGAACTTAACAGCTATCTTTAAAACGGAAAATAAAGAATGGGTGAATGGGAATGGGGAACGGGGAATCTTTAAAATGGGGAATCTTTAAAAGCGGGAATCTTTAAAACGGGGAATCTTTA